TACAACAGCCCAATTCACAAAAAATGCTGGGAAATGAACAAATGGAGTATAAAAGAAAGGTCAGATGGTTGAAGGTGAGCACCGTTACATTACAGCTTGCCCCATGCATATGGAGAACACGAAAGATATTGGTACATATCAGACTTTAATAGAAGCAAATAGTACACAATGCAGGTCTTGCATTGTGTGATTGCTTGTCATGACAGTCTGGGACAGCGGCAATAAGTTTAGTTTAGTCCTTAACCTTTAAACTTGGTTTACATCTCTAAACTAACTCACAAAATGGAACAGTGTCCTCCATAGGGCATGCTGCAGAGCAGATACTTTGCCACTCTATTTTCCTGATTAATTCCTGACTACAGTCCAACCTCTACTAATGGCCACCTCTCTACAAAGGTCACCTCTCTACAATGGCAACTTTTTTTGTCCCGGCAGACGGTCCATACATTTACTCTTATTTTAAGGACAGTGCCTACTAATTGCAAAGGTTTTTGTGCCAGGTTAGGACCATGCGAAAAAAGCAGATCTATGCAAGGGCTATTGGAATCCACAAAGAAAAATGGGGGTAGCCATGCAATTTTTTCGAGATAATTAGCCTTGAATCTCGACAAAAATGCTGACATCAGCATTTTCCTGGAAAAAGAAGGAAATGATAATTATTCCTTCACAGATTTCCATAGAATTTGCCTTTACATACAGAAACACAAACACATTTGAAAAGGTCTTTAAACTACATGGCAAATGGTAACAAAAAAAAAAATTTTGATATGTTTTTAATAGCTTGCAAAAGTACTTTTAGCGTATCTGACAGCCTTCCTCTGGTTCAGCTAAAATACAGCCTAAATACCTTTTGCTCACAACCAGAAACTAATCACGTGTTGAATAGACTTGCCATTTCCATTTCATAACGTAAAATGTAGGGGTAACCATGCGTTTTTTTTAAAGTTATTGATCTTTTTTGAAAACTTTTACAGTGCCCGTTACATTTTTTCCTGTCACCTCCCCAGTATGTAAGACATTTGCGTATCTCGCATTTGTTTTGCATGCGCACTACGCCATCTGCAGGTACATGTTTACAGTTGGATTTCAGTATTGTTTTCGACAGATAACAGCTAGATTTTCAGTTAGCGTAAACAGTTAGTGGTTAGCAATATGCTGCTATTCTGGTGTTCCTGGTTTAAGTACAGGTTCATTTAAACTTGATTTGGTCAAAGTAGGAAAATTTTGCTTTCATTTTAGTCGTGTATGTGATAGCGTAGTTGATTACATCAATGTCAGCCCCAGCGCATGCATGGAGCTAAACCATGGCTTGCGTGATGCGCAGAATGTGCATGCACTAACAAAAGTAGGCACCGTCCTTAGGAGAGGGGTGAATAGGGGTATGGAAATCCGCTGATCCGTACCTTTTTTTGCCAAATCCGCCCATCAGCCAACATTTTAGTGCAAATCCAAAACCACAACCACATCGGGAAACAGAAGTGTAAAAGTTCAAAGGTAAACTGGTAAATGTGAATGTAAATGCCATTACACCCAAATAGTAAAGAAGGCAACATGTTTGATGACTTTCACACAGCACAATTCCAATAACATCCTCACACCTAATTTAATTAATAAGTTTTGTTAGAAAAAAGAAATAATTTGGATGAACTCATTAACATACTGACCAAGGCTGACAAAAGATCTCTGATCCAAATTTCGTTTAGAACCCAAGATCAGAACATCAAGACAGGCACAATCTGGAATCCGTGCTAAAATTCACAGCTAATCCACGATCCACCATGTTTTCAAAATATGCGAATCTGCTCGATTTACCGCAAAAATCCACAATCCATGCGCTTTTTAAGGCCAAATCCGTCGATCCAAAAACCTATTCACCTCCCTCTTTTAACCTCTCTACAATGGCCACCTCTGCACAATGGCAACAGACACTAAAGTGTGTCCTGAACTACTAAAATAACCTCTCCACAATGACCACATAATCAACGACTGAGAAACGGTGTTAATCATACCCCATGCTATATTGTAAAAAGTCACAAAACTTGATCCATAACGTGCATTGTTCGTCTCTGTTTCTGTTTTGTTTCTGTATTATTGATACATTTTGACTGTCTTAGGTATTTCTATGCTGCAGTAAGCATTTTATACATATAAAAATATTGTATCCCCCAGAAAACCTGCTGTCATATTACACCCCTACCTCCTAATTACAACCACCTCTCTATAACAGCCACTTTCATCTGTCTCCAACATGGCCATTTTCAATGCTGTAATGCTTTAATATACCAATTTCGATATATATTAAAATTCAGCCTAAAAGGAAATAGACCTCAGCATGAGGCTCTGGGGAATAACTACAGAGTTTGTGAGGTTTATTCCCCAGGGCCTTGTGCTGAGGTCTATTGTGTTAGTCCGAATTTTAATATATCGAAATTGGTTTATTGGATACTCCTAAAAACAGTAAAAAACTATAAGCTTACCAGGAGGTTTAAAGTCAAACTTAAATCTGTATATTTAAGAAATAGAAAACATGTACCATGTTTCTATTGAGTTATAGAAACACAAGTGGAAGTTTGGGAGAATGAGAAATCCTGTGGGAACACAAGCCACAGGCGAGTGTTTCCAGTAATTTGTGTTTCCACAGCTTTTTTGAGTTCTCCCAGACTTTCACGACTGTTTCTATAACTCAATAGCAACACGGAGAACATGTTTTCTATTTCTTTTAGAAAACACTGCGAGGAAAATAAGGAAAACAACTTGTTAACTTTGATTATCAAAGTGTAAATTCTCTTTGCTTGTGCCATCATTATGTCAACAGCTCGTACTAGTTCTGTGTTTCCATCGACTCATAGAAACACAATTTTTAACCAATCCGCGCCCGTATTTTCTTAGGACTATTTTCTAAACAATAATAAAATCGTTGTAGAGAGGTTTGGCTGTATTCCAGACAATAAGAGCCAGGAATATTATCTAGTTTCATATTTCTGGAGTCTCTGGGACATTAAGAAAACAATGGAATCTCCAATCACCTTGGATAGTTTCCTTGCATACATAGCACATATTAATCACATCCTGTAGTGGCATTTCATGCATACTCACCCTTCAGTATATTCTGCTTGAAGTAAGCCAAGGTAGGTTTCCCACTTGTTTCCGATTACTTTCCCACACGTAAAACAACGAATTGGAATGATCATGATCTTCAAGCACTATAGAGAGCAAATTAATAGGATGGTCAGTGTAAAAGATTAAAGAAATCGAGAGTTGAGTTTGCACGTGGAAACTGATTAGAAATCGCCGCAAAAATCGCAGCAAAACGAAAGAGTTAAGTCATCATAAAGTACGTCCGATGCACTAGATATTAATAAAATACCCACAAATATGATAAAAGTATTCAAATTACCTTTTACGATCTCCGAAATTTGAAATTTTGCGAGCTACTTAAACTAAACAGTTTCTTTCGAAGCCTACCTATTTAGCCCACCTTGTTTAGGAGCTAGATTCCAGTGTCTCACGGACGTAAGGCTCATCCGCTGAAGAGAAAATCGCAGGCTCTGATCGTGTTGGGTCAACCTTGTAGCCTTGTAAAGATGTCTAGCAGAGGCATGGGGTTCGGATTGTCCGCTTTATTACGAGGGTCTTCCAGACCCTTCAAGGTTTGTAACATATTTTATGCTCCTTTGTATTATGGTGCTGTTCTTGTTGAACAAAAGCTTTTCTGTGGTGATCAAAGCCAGATTTACCTTGTGCCTTGTGTCGTGTGCGATCGCACGCGTTGCTAGAGCAGACTGTATGCATAATAATTAACTTGGAATTTAAGCCTAAAAAAAGTAAGCTGATTTTAAATGAGCTCACCGTAAAGCGTTATAAATGATTTGAAGCAATATTATTATTTTATAAAATATTATATATTTTTTTAATACCTAACCAATAGATATTAAA